CTTCTCCTCAGGGCTGCCCTTGATCTACTCTCCATCCAGCCTGTCCCTATGCTGTGTATCACCTAACACAGCAGATTTGAGCCTGAACCTTCCTTCTGCTTCCATCGCAGATGACACAAAGTATTGGTAGAACCAGCTACATAGCTGGAACAACTTACATCCTAAGGGAACAATGCAGTTAATGCACCCTTCCAGCCAACAGGGCACAGGACAATGACATGGCTGGAGCAGCTCTCTGAAGGCAAAACCTTTGTGCAACCCACCACATTTCACTGCTCAGGCTAAAACCAAGACATGAAGAAAAATCATCCCAATGCATTCTCAGTCCAAGAGTAAGTAACATCACTACCAGCTCTGCATCAATTTTCAAAAGTCCTGGGGACTTTCTAAACTTAGATCAAGTTTTAGCATACTTCAGCACAATACGTAATGACCATCACCCCTTACACTGCCAGAGAACTAACTGCAGCGGGGGAGTGAAAATGCTCAAAATGACACATCAGCAGCCACGAACAAGGGCTCAGGAGTTCACGGTTCTCAAGTTGAGTTGCTCAATCAGCCAGGGCTCTGCTTTGAAAGCAAACAACACAGAAGACTACCTGAAAATGGGAAATCATGCCGAGTGATGAGTCCTCAGGCTACCTAAGCATCGTTACACTCTTCAGGTATGTTTTGACTCAGCCTACAGTATGTCTCTTCCAGTAGCACATCTCCGTCGCAAACCTGAAGTCAGCAACTTCACAAACATTTCATGCCTTGTGTAGTTAACAATCATCACAAACAAGAAAAGCCTGGACTTTGAGTTCACAGCTCTGTGAAGCCTCCAGAGAAAATCATCATTGTTTTTTTTAGCAAGCATTTGGCTCAGATTACAGAAGAGGAAAAAAACAAACTCACATGGTGCATGGAACATCACTAGCACAGATGAATGATCTTTTATAAACTTGTCGAAGTCCTCATCAGTCAGGTGATAAACTACATTTTCTTCATCTGCCCAGGGAGTCTCGGGAGCCTGTGGCTGAGGTGCCTGTGGGCTACAAGACAAAGAGACACAGCTGAAAAGTAGCTCTGGTGCTAAGTAGTCATTTTGGCAAGTTGGACTGCAAGGAACCACTTTGTGCAGATGTCCATATATGTGTGACACTAACCCTACTGCACAGCTTTCATAGTTGTACCCACCCAGAACTCAACCACTGAAACTCAGATAAAACTAGAGGAGGAATAAAAACATCCACAAGAAGCTCATGGGGACGGATCAGCAATGGAAAGGGATGGAGCGAGGAGATAACCAGACTGCTTGGTTATTACATTATAGAAATCAGATACATTTTCTGTTACCCTTTTACCCTCCTCAGCAGGATGCTCCCTTTCTCACAGCAGTCACACTTTGTAGTTCACAGGAGACATTAAAAATGAAAGAATAAAGTAGCAAGCAGAGACATCCAATGTAACCAGTCACCTTGAATACTGACAGCATGGTTAGGGCTGCCAGAGAAAGAAGGAGGTGTAGCATTGGGACCCAGAGCAAACTACACAGTCCGTCTCCCCAGGAATATATGGTTTTACCCTGAACAACCCTGTGACCTGGGGAAGCATAATGTCCTCACTCAGCTGCAGGCTTGCAGGCCTAATTCAGCAAAGCTACTCAACTGCATGCTTAACCTAAAAGAGGAGTGACATGTTCTACTGACTTCACTATAATCGCACAAGAGTTTAACCATCTTTGATGGATCAGAACCAAAAAGACTGCTCAAAGACACAGTGGCAAACCTAGAAACTGAACCCAAGCTCCTCTGGACCAGCTCAGTGCCCATCTCATCCCACTAAACAATTGTTCTTGGCTTTTATTAATACACATTAAAAAGAGAATTTGGCAGATGTGAACTAAACTATGCTAATTGATATTTTATTTATTAAAGCAGTGTTCACATACAGGACACCCAAACATACGAACATTTGGAGCCAGACTTTGAAGCTATTTTATCCTTGCCAGTTGTAGTAATGAGTTCCAAATACCCCCCCAAAATTCTCCACATTTTTTGGCAAGATACAGCTCTGGATATGACCCCATCTCTGGTGAAAGCAGATTCACTATTTTTGAATAAAATGTGTTACTGTGTTAGCTGCTTGGACCAAGGAATGGCAAACAAATGGTAATTCATTTCTCCTGCCTTGCTCACTTCTAGGCTGAAAGCCTAGTCAGATTAAAAAAAAGCAGTAGTGATACATGGATTCAGATAGCAAATTTTGTTGATGTAAGCAATGGGTCTGATCCAAGAACATTAAGCAATCCATGCAAAACTGATGCACACCTCTGCTGCTGCTAATACGATAAACAAACCAAGAAACAAACATCAAAGCAAAGATGGGAGCTGCACTCAGCCAAGCAGCCGAGAGAGAAAAAGAGGCAGGTCCCTGTCCTCAGATAATCAGTTTGCTTGTTGCCAAGCCTGTAAGAGAGCAACAACCTGCAGGTACCCTCGCAGAGTGAAGGCCTTCCAGAAAACACCATGACCCTTCACGAATTTGGAAGGGGAGTTGAGTAGGCAGAGCATGATGAACATGGACACAGTGGCTACAAACCACTGGGAGAATGCTATGTTTAGCAGGGCCTGGCATGACCTATTTCAGCAAGGAATTAGTAAAGCAGGGCACAAGATGTTTATTCAAATGTCCCAATTTAAAATGCTGTGCATGCTAATAAGCCTACACAGAAGTTGGTAAGAAGCACCTCAAGGCCTGGAGGAAACAACAAGCAAAATCTAAAATGTCATTTAAAACTGAGATGAGGCACATCCAACGCCTGAAGACCAAAAATAGCATGACAGAAGTCTGGAAGAATTATCAAGAGCTAATTCAATTAAGAATAAAGAACAAGTTCTTGATTTAACTAAGTAGCTGGTGCTAAGGAAGGGCCCAAGAGGAGTCCATAAAAACAGCAAGACAAACAGAGCAGCTACTGAGGGCAGCAAGAAGCTGTCTGACTTGCCTAGCATCCAGGCCGAGACAGTTTTATATCAGATTAAAGAAGAAAAAAATTGAACAGAATTGTTGTATGGACAAGATAGCATCTCCCGTGTTAACAATGCTGTGTGTTAGGGTAAGGCTGTATGATGGTTTCTTTCTACCACCCCATGAAAACATCTGCAACTCCTTAAGACAGTAGCCAGTGCCTATTAGGAAGATAAGAGAGGTTAAGTATCCATAGGACTGATGCATTAGCACACTTCAGCATAAGAAAGAAGCACCTTCAATAAGTAGTAAAAGAAAAGGTTTTGGAGCCCTCCAAACTAGCAGCTCTTGTTCTGAGAGAAAAGAACACGGAAAACATCCTTTCAGTAATTTAAGTAACCCTAATCTTCATTACGTTTTATCATGCCCTCTCCCAAAAATCAGCATAGATCAAACACTTTCAGCGCTTTACCACTAACATTTAGAGGGAAAACACAGAGAAGGGGAGAGGGAAAACAGTTGCTTTCCTGCAGTGTGTACCTAGTGTCCACAGAAAAATAGGTCATTTCTTATGGCTCAATGTCTGCTGGATTCTCTTTCGAGAATCTGTGATGACAGCACATGCACACACTGGCTTTCCTCGCCACGGGCTGCCACGTGCACTCTGGCACTGCCGTGCCCCTGCTCTGCAGAGCAATGTCTCGCATCACAGCGACTTCCTGACATGATTTTAATGTTATACTATTCTGAAATATAGCCTATGCACCCTGCAGCTATCTAATTACACTCTTTGGCTTTCCTAAAGCCCTTGCCAGACCATTTGACTACTTGTACTGCAGATTCCTCAGAGTAATATAATATTATGCATGTAGCAGATTTACCCCATATACGGTTTTAATTGAAACATCAATTACTGGCAAAATCCAAATATGCATAATTTCTCAATGTGGTTTCCTTAAAAGTTGTACTTATTATACAAAATGGGCAGGAAGGCTACTACTCAGATCATCTTTCAGGAAACTAATAAGCATGCGCTAACACTAAGTGAGGACAAACAGCTGTCTTTAGCTCTGGACTGCTAAAATATCAGCCAAAGCCCACAGTGGCTTGTTAGTAGAGATTATCACCGGAAAGAGATTGCAGCTGTTCTGCTCTGCCTCCAGTAGCTGTGTTCACTTGCTGTCACAGCACTGATATAAAGGCACGGCATATTACAGGGATTATCTGGATATTATGTAGGCAGACAGGGTAAAAAAAACCCACCCCAAACACGTAATGTTTCGCATGTGGTAGCCAAGTGATAACCGCCTCCTTGCAAAACTGAAAAGAATAATAAAGTGCAGGTGATGAAGTCATATCCTTGCTCCAAGGGCTGATCAGCATTGCTGGAGCTGCCATCTTGACCATTCGTATCTGAAGGCTTAATGGTCTAAATGAAGCTTAAAGACTATGGCTAGGTTCCTCCTCTTTGATCCACGGGGCAGCGTTTGTACCTCCTGAGGCTAACAGGAGTGCTGCCGTCACATCATTGGTGGGTTCCCAATCCTCCAGCGCCACTGCTGAAGACCCTGGGCTGCCTGCAACCACACACGTGTCCCCAGCATAGCCCCACAGGTACAGTAAACCACATCTATTCTGAGCCAATCTCGCTAAGCCGTATCATCTCAATAGTTTGCAACTGTCTGTTTCTTCCCATGCATTTGTTCCCTTTTATTAGCTTCACTTCACGATTATTTCCGTGGCTGCAGCAAACATGGGAAGGTTGCAAAGAGGACACAATGCCCAAGAGCCAGGGCTAACCACTACCAGCATTTCTCCATCACCAGACCGTCTCAGCTCTCTCCAGCTTCGTCATCAGCTTCACTGACAACCTGCTGATTTGCACCAGCTAAAGAGCAACTATATGCACATTCACACATTTTATCTGTCTCTCAGTCCCCAAAATATTTATGACTGCAAATAGCTCTCTTAAGGTAGAACAAGCTGCTTTCAACACCACTTTGTGTCATGAAAGGAAACACAGACTTTGTAAAAATGACAGAAATCTGGGGTGCCTTGATCTCCTGTTTGTCTCTGAAAGACACTCTAAAGGCTCCAGCTAAAGGCTGGAGAACCAATGAGAACTGCACGCTTTGTTGTTTCATTAAAAATGTATATACAAAGTCAGACCTTTTGCAAGGTACTAAGTTCAGGCACCCAAAAATCACTGGAAATAAAAGTTGGCATTTTTAACGAAGCTGAGATCTGTGTACCTGCATTTATTTTGGTCCACAGACAGTTTCCTGTGAAAGATGAAATGCAATTGTAAGATGCAAGGCATGCATACTAAAACCCAAACATTAGGCAATCTCCCTGTGCTAGTTTAGCCAATCTCAGCGGGGCAGTCATGTTTGCTCTTCCAAGCAGAGGGAATGAGGGAGAAACAGCTGTCCCTAAACCATTACATCCTGTAAATAATGAAGAGTACATGAAAGGTGGAGTTAGTGAAGTTCAGCGCCTTACTTTTTCAGCCACTCCGCTATATCCGCCGCGGTAGCACCATAGTTCTCAAAGTGGAACAGGAACTTTCCTTTCCTGTTAAAGCAACAAAACAAGGTTTAGTCCTTGCCCTGGAAGACAAGAACACACAATTATAGTCATGTGTATGATTTCTAAAGTAGTAGTGAAACATAACTGACTCAAAATAGCAGATTGTAGGATATCCCCGGACATTGTATTCTTCCTTTATCCTTTCAAATTCAGCAGAGTAAACATTCATTCCCGCAAGAACCTGGAAAAAAAAACAGAGCATAATTGTATCGATTCTTAGAATACAGCAGGAACATTACAACTTTTTTAAAGATTTAAGGAAAAACAAGGAAGCTCTGGGCGGATTCTGCCTTCATTCACACTGCTGTAAAACAAGGAGATCTCTGTAAAAGGCAGCGACATTCTTCTGATTTTGTGCAAGGGGGAACAGAGCAATATTTGAGCCACAGAAAGCATACGTCAGTCAGATTCTCACCTCCTCCTTGCTCTGGAAGTGACTCCATTTCTTTTTATTCACCCACTAAGAGAAAGATCTAAAGGGAATTCTCCCAATCGCACTACTTGTGCTCTCTTTGTGTTATTTGAATTTTAAGCTACGCACTTAACTAGATTTTTTTCCTTCTTCTGCAAGTACATGGCTTGAGGTGCATCCAAACACTAGTTAGGACACAAGAACTTCCACCCTCATCCTCCTGGTTTCCACTCCGGCAATAAATTTACAATCTTAGCTAATACCCTGAAGCTCCAACTGTCCAAGCACTGGTGTTATCCCAGTTCAAAAATCCACTTACTGAATGGCAAGGGGAAATCAGCATCGCGTGGCTGTGAAAGTAAAATGCACCCTACTTCCATGAGCCCAGGAAATGCTACATGGCATTTATATACTTTAAATATGTTGAATTACCTGACAGGTAGGGTATGAGAGTTAAGATTTAACCTTGTCCTACCCATATCCAACGAGGGGCATGTAACCATAGTACATAAATTAAGTAAAATTAATTAAGACCAGTAAGTAAAACAAAAATCTTATACTCTTTCCTTGTCTCTATCCTCACCCATCCTCCACCAAGCTTCAGGCTCAGGGCTCCTATGAATTATCCTGTGCCCTGTCCAATTGTCTTCCAAAAATTTCTGACCTAATAATGTGAAGATGTGACTGATTCAGGGTTTCTGTGGGTGTGGGATTCACATGGAGGTTGTTCTGCTGTCAAACCTTCAACCAGCGAGTTGCTGAGATACCACTTCATGATTAACTTCGTTTAATGGCATTGAGGGCTTAAATCATTTTAGCAGCCAGGGTCTTAATCCAAACACCTCCTCCTCCCCACTCCAAACCCAGGATTTTCTCCTTCCAGCTGAAATACCACATCAGAATTTAATACCAGGTTCCTGACTGCAGCAAACTGCACAGGCCAATCAAATGTGCTCAGAGCCAGCATGAAATACACCCTAAAGCAGAAAATCCAAGCTTGAAGGCCAACCTTTGCTAAGAATGTGCTGGAAAGTCCCAAAAAGATACTTTCTCTCCCCTATCCTGAGAAAGGATAATAGAAAGCTAACTGATAAGAGTACAGAAATAGGGTTTATACTGGCTGGCGAAGTCTCTTTCTTTGAATTTTCCTTGTACTTCCAACAAGATTGACTTAATTCACATGAGACTATCTAGACCCAATTGCCCCCCTTCCCTTACCCTCCGTATCACCATTTGAGGGTAAGTAAAAGCAGTAGGATCAAGACACAGTGGTTACTTTATTAAAGTGAGAACCAGGTTCGTTAACTGATTCCCTTCTAAACACCAGTCTACCAGATTTGACATTTGTCATGAACTACCAGAGGATAACCTAGGTTTTAAATGGGTGTTCCTGGCCCTTTAAGATACTCTGCTACAATTTCACTGTGTCCACCCAGCCTGCAGTGACTGATAGAAGTCAGTAACTTGGATTCATTCTGGTGTTCATACATATGAAGCATAATTAGCAAAGCCTATTACAATGGGATTCATTTTAATGACAAAAGTAACAGCTTTAGCTGGCCTATAATCACAGAATTATGTAATATCAGGCTGTCAGGCACCATCAGAATACACCTACTACCCACAGCCAGGATCCTCCCTCCATACCTAAGCTGCTCCTGCCAGATGTTTAGCTAATTTGCTTTTAGCAAACAACTGAATGACCCTGACTTCAATCTAAGTCCATTACCTCTTGTAATAGCCATAGTAGACATGAAGATCAATTTATTCCTTTCAGCTCTAAGATGACATTTGACATATTTCAACACTTAACTGCTCTCCACCATGCTACTTATAACTTAAATCGACTGAACCTTTCCTAGCTGGCCATGTCTTCTGGGCCATACCTGTTCTGCTGTGACCCCTTCCCCTACTTCAGTGTTTTCTTCATAGGATTGCTCCAAAACTGGTACCTCACAGCACTACATGAACATTTCCTACAGCCACATTTACTAGATTAAACAAAGGCTTCCCTAATTTGATGTCTGAAATAAGCGTAGGAACTTTATGCTTCTGAAGTCTTATGTTTTTACCAAAGGAGGACAGCACTTAAGCACACGCTCAAGCCAGTCTTCACGGAGTAAAGCCCTCCGGCACACTCATGAGGTCCACAGGCATTAAGAAATGCTTTGCCGACCACCAGTTCCTCCCTGCACAGCCTGCAGTGCACTGGAGACAGTCGCCTGCCAGAGCCCACCCTACTCACGGACCACAGGAATCTCTCATGCCAAGGATAAAATAACCCATCCTCTTCGGATTCAGAACCTGTTTTTTCCTTCCACACTAGTTGTAATTGAATTGCAAGATCTAAGCCAAACGTAATGCTGGAAGTGCCACCCTGCCTTCCTCTCAGTAACAGTACTGGGACAAGAAACAACCAGCCCCAGGAGAACATCGCAACCAACTACAGGTACAGTTCACCTTCTCGGTTTTATGACCTATTAAATAGGCAATACTGTACTTCATTTTCCTGCTATATAATAGCAATAATCGCTTTTGAGCCTGGCACATCCTGACAGCTAATGATAGGTCAGATTAAAAGGTCAAACCTTCAGCTCATCCAAACCAATCATAAACTTCCCAGCAAAGCCTGATCTGGAGGTCAACTTCATTCTAAGGTACCCCATGGATAATTTGTGATGGATACAGCACAGTTAACTTCAGAAACGGCAAACTGTGTACACATCCCACTCAGGAACCTGATCAGGTCAAGTTTACGAACAGACTGATTTTTGTGAAAGACACGGGTGTAACCGGCATAACTAGCCTTTCCTCTGAACTGCTCCTGCACTAAAAACACTCCAGTGCAAAAAGCACCCCTGGCCTGAGCTGCATCAATCACAGGCACTGCCAGCCTCACTGCTTTCCCACAGCCCTGTCACTGAGCTGTGCAGGATTGGCCTGGACCTACAGACACTATTTCCAGGTAAGGAAGGAAAAACTAGAACAGATCTGGAGTTTAAAATTTTCTTGTCTCAATTCAGTAAAATGAGCTGCACACAAACAAGCAAGAGATAACTGCAGGAAAACATAGCATTGCAGCACGCTTTCTCTGTGGCACTATCTCTGTAGGTGATTCTTCACATTCCCAATTCCTGCCCAGCCCTCACCTCCCAACATACCTGCCATGCAAGACAGGAACGCCTTCCCCAAAGACCGCGCTACACGATCCACTGAGGAGAGAAGGCGTTAAGAGTGCTGCCTGGCTAGACAAAAACACTCTTGAAAACATCTTCAAGGGTTGTACTGTGTCCTAAATAAATCTGAACAACTCCTACTCATTTCAGCCCTAAGCGAACAAGGATTTAAAGAAAACACTTTGGAAAAACAACTAATTTGAGAGAACATGGGGGAGTCTGACAGCACTCAGTGCTTATAAGCAGCAGTGGCAGAGCTGTCCTAGCTATGAACCACAGTGCTTCATCTTTTCCTCATCACATACCACCTCTCCCAAGGAAACCTGTAAACTTGATAGAGAAAAATCCAACAGGTAGGATTAGACCAAATCCAGCTAAAACCATGAAACAACAATCCTATTTCTTTGTCACTCACATGTTACTGATATCATATAAATTATACATTGAGCACATTATAAAACCTTGACTAGAGAAGTGCCTTTGACTTGCTTAGAGAGATCAATACGCCTTACTAGTACAAACAGGTAACTAAATTATTGAAGCTGCTGTTGATGGATTTTATTATCCATCAGGTGTGGATGTTGGTCTCTTGTCCTATTACTGGTCACTTTGGAGGAAATGGCCTCAAGTGGCACCAGGGGAGGCTCAGATTGGATATTAGGAAAGATTTCTTCACCAAAAGGTTTGTCAGGCATTGGAACAGGCTGCCCAGGGAGGTGGTTGAGTGACCATGCCTGGAGGTATTTAAGAGATATGTTAATGTGGTGCTCAAGGACATGGTTTAGTGGTGGTATTAGCAGTGTTAGGCTAAGGGTTGGTCTTGATTATTTTAAAGGTCTCTTCCAGCCTAAAAGATTCTATGATTATGGTCCAAGTTGCTTTCATTTCAATCTGGCATGAATGCTAACTCTCTCAACAGAGCTATAGTAAAACTGTAAGATTTTATTAATGCTTACGCTTAGTGGCTAGGAGGACAATCAATAGCTAACAGGGAAATTCCCCTACCCTGACACTCTGATTCTCCACTAAAAAGGTGGATTAATTATTACTATAAGGACATCCATCCCTGACCCCGCTATGAATCATCAGGCTAAAAAGCTCAAACCCACTCTGGCAAACATTTCTTTACCAACATGAGCTCAAAAGGACTACTACCTCATAAATTAGATGCTAAACAAACGTACGTAGTGTCAGAGCCTGTTTTTCCACTGGATCTAAAGGGGAAGAGAGTTAACTCATTCTCCAAAGTTTAAAAAAGAATAAAAATCAAGAGATAGAATCCTGAAGGTATCTGGAACAGTCTCATTAATTTCTGTTTTGTTTCAACTTGCTTAAAAGTTTCCCACTCCAACACATATGTGGTTTTAAATGCTTAAAAAAAGGCATTAAAAGGATTTTTAAAATTTCATATAAATCTTATCTTCTCACTTACATATTTACCCTTCAGTTCTGTGGCTGCCTGCTGGTAAGATGGCATCATTCTCTTACAAACACCACACCCTGATAAAAAAAGGAATTGTGTAAGTAATATACCAACAACTCTATTCAGACTGTTCTACAGGATCTATGTTCCAAAGCATGTGAAACAACATGATTTTAATATTAAAAAAAATATTAAACAAGATTCTTTATCTATTTCACTAAATAATTATTAATTTGGTTTTAAGGATATTACATACCACTGTTTTTGCATGTTTTTCATTGTCATGCTCATTTCTTATCCCAGTTTTGGAACGAGTAACAACACCTTATATTCCTCAGGCTCTGAGCTGAGCCCAGAGAGGAACATGCGATGAAACTCCCATATTAAAAGTCAAGGGAAGATGTCATGCTTGTGAACTCAAACAAAAAATCTTCGTGCATTTCTGGTCTTTTAGGGAGGAGGGGGAGGTACTTCAGACTCATCCCAGTTTAACGAGTCTTTGAAATTCATTTGAGACATTTCCTACACACATTAAACAGACATGAAAAGTTAAACAGTGCTCCAGTAGTTGAGAAGACAGAACTCAGAAGTAGCAACAGCCCTTGGAAGATACAGTGACTTTAGGTGCAGAGAAGACAAGGCAAGCGAGTATAGGACGAGTGTGCTAAGAGCGATCTGATGACGCTCTGGAGTGATAAGCAGATTAGCAGTAAATTACCTCGCAAGCAGCAGGTTTCACCCCTGCCAAGCAACACACATGCATGCACATGGGAAGGGGCGGGAGGGCAGACAGCGTGAAAGGAAGGAAGGCATGGCCAAGCACTTCAGACACTTAGTGAAGAAACTCCTGGGTCCACCACATGACAGTAGTCCACTTTTTTCTTCCAGTGAAGAGACAAGATTGACAAGAGTCTTGAAGATATTTTTCAGAAAGGAGGAACAGATTTTGTAACCACTGATATAGGACCATATCAGCATGCCTGGGAGGAACATCCTTCTGTGGTCTTTCCACCTTTGATCTCTTTGCTCAAATTGCCAGCAAGGTGGTTAAATTAGTACTGGTCAGAATGACAATTTCTTGGTGGGCACAAACCACTGAGGTCCTGCAGCTTCACCCAAATGCTGGACAGACATCAAAAGACACAAGTGGTTAACATTTTCTTCTCATTCTTCTATGCTTTCTTCTTGTATTTTGACTCAAAAGTAGGGGCTTAATTAAACAAGTATTAGTATTTCCACTAGTTAACACCTCCATTTTTAAAGCCCTGTTTTCAATTATACTATACACAGCTCATTTTTGTTGCCAAATCCAGACCATCTCCTGCAGGAGTCCGCTTAGACAAAGCTAACTACAAATAAATCTGTATGCCTATAAGTATACCTGATTTTTCATATTTAGTGCTGTCTGACTTTACATTATAAGTCCAAAAGTAGAGTGAATGGTCTCCAAATGACAGGTAATATCTCCTGAGGAAAGCATGACTTTACTGTGAGTCGTTTTACACAGACCAAGCATTCCTGAAATATTAAAGGAACTACATTTAAGTCTGCAGTCACTTTCATCTCCCTCCACACTGGTACGTAATGAAAGAGCCCATTTCCTATGAATCTGCCACAATGAATCTAAAGGCCCTGCTTCCAGCAAAGCAGAGAAATAATGCAGCTGTCTTCCCTATAGCTTCCCAGACAAAGCCTCTGATGTCCTCTCATGCCAAAGACCTCCCCAACTCATCCTTAGAAGAAAAGCAGAATTTTCTTTAGTGACCAGTCTTGATTTGCTGCTCCCAGTTATGAAAGGTAACACCTGTATGCAACCAGTAACTTCGGGTGTCTTTATTTTAATGCAGCTGCTGGATGTATCCTGTCTCCAGTAACAGGAGTAAGAGAAGAAAAATTGGACAAGAACCGAGACAGGGGGTCTCATATGTTAAATAAAAGATGAGGGAGTTAAGAATTGTAAAATCAGAGGGGAGAAAAAACCCTTGTAAGTGGGCTTCCTTCACAGCAGTTTAGAAAGCAGCAAAAGTATTACAGCACTGAAGACTAGCAGGTGTTTTGCCACTTCAAAAGAAGAGAAACTGGAAGGGGGAGGGTTTCTGGGGGAACGGTTCAAAGAGAACGAAGGGTTAGATAAGACACATTTCAGGAAGAGACTCGGTTGTGGAAAACAATTATTCATGATACAGGTAAACTGTGAAAGCACTCTGCAGCTGAACTCTCCCTGAAGGGGCGATTTACAGGCAGAGCAGGCATATCATCTCCTGCCGATGCTAAGGCAGCAGCAGTGACTGGGAGCGACCATGCACCGTGTCAGGCCACACAGGACCATCCTGCTGCAGAGTCTGAAGGCACAGAGCTGCAACTAATTTAATTAAAGGCAAAACCATCCTCTTAGTGATGCAACAAACTAAGTCTTGTGTAGTTCTGACCATCTTGGCAGTACTCAGATGAGACAAAAAGGTAGAATGGTGTTTCAGGCAGTAATTACAAGAGAAAATATACTGAGTAACAGATAATGCTGCCACGGGACACAGTTTTAAAGAGAATCAGCCAGCAAATTGCTAGTGGTGTCCAACATCAATTTCCCTATCAGTGCAGCGCTGGGAGGCTTTTCAAGCTCAGGTCATACATTCATTGCTTTCTCACGGTTCCCCTGCTTTCCAGCTGAGCAACAACTCCAGTGCAGCACTACGTTGTTCTGAAGAGCTAGAAAACCTCTCACATACGAGTCACCAGAAAACATAAAAAGGCAGATGCAAATCTGCAAAATTAAGGAAGAAGCAGCCAATACAATGACAAAATAGCAGCAATACAAAGTCAAGGTGACAAAAGAAATGCAATGGCTGCAATGTGCAGCCTTCCTCTTTCCTTCCTGATCCACCCCCCTGTCATGAAATCCCACTTGTATTCAAGTTGTTCCTGACAATGTGGGTAGGAATACCCAGGGTGCCTCCTAGATAGAGTAGGAAAGATACTCCTGCTCCTGACCACTGCACTGTTCCCTCTGCTTGCATCTAGGGTTTTTTTTTCATCTCCAGTGTCTCCTCCGGAGATCTCTTGCTTGTGTTGAACCAACTTATCTTATGCTACGGCCCAAACGGCAGAAGTAGAAAGCGTGTGCAATACCTGGTCACACTTACAGGTCTGTACAGGCCAGAGGGCTAGACACTCTCAGACAGATGTATTAACACTTATGCGCCCAGCATACAGTGTTTGTCTTGTACAACAAAGATCTAGACAGGAAAATGGGTAAAGAAATTACATAAAGCAGCTGCTTAAAAGAACAAAGAGCAAGAGCCATCATCACATGAAACAGAGGCAAGATTAGGATACAAGTGATGGACAACCAGGGGAAAACTGAGGACAAACAGGCAGAACAACATAAAGAGTTGAATGATAAAGGAGGGACAAGATGGTGTTAGTGAAGCACAGGCAAGGCTCCTACTCAGACATCTCAGTTGAGAAGGAAAAAAAGAGGTGACAGAACATGCTAGGTTACTTACATGGGGCATAGAACATCATCAGAAGGGGTTTGTCTTCCTTCTTCAGCAGCCTTCTCAATTCCTAGGGAATGTACCAAAGAAAATAAAAAGATCTATAACCAAGGACACCTCTTATTATTAGTGTTACAACTTAAAAAACCGTTAATATAAATAAGTGTGACCAGCAGGTCAAGGGAGGTAATTCTGCCCCTCTGCTCTGCTCTCATGAGACCCCACCTGGAGTGCTGCATCCAGCTGTGGAGCCCTCAACATCAGAAGGATATAGACTGGTTGGAGCGAGTCCAGAGGAGGCCCTGAAGATGCTCAGAGGGCTGGAGCACCTCTGCTATGGGGACAGGCTGAGAGAGTTGGGCTTGTTCAGCCTGGAGAAGAGAAGACTCCAGGGAGACTCCAGTACGTGAAGGGGCTACAAGGAAGCTGGGGGGGACTTGTTACAAGGGTCTGTAGTGACAGGACAAGGGGGAACAGGTTTAAATTGAAAGTGGGGAGGGTTAGATTAGATATCAGGAAGAAGTTCTTCCCGGAGAGGGTGGTGAGGCACTGGCACAGGTTGCCCAGAGAAGCTGTGGATGCCCCCTCCCTGGAATTGTTCAAGGCCAGGCTGGATGAGGCTTGGGGCAACCTGATCTAGTGGAAAGTGTCCCTGCCCATGGCAGGGGGGTTGGAACTAGATGATCTTTAAGGTCCCTTCCAACCCAAACCATTCTATGATTCTATATATGTATTCATAGAATACAGGCTCATGTATCTGAGGGAAGAGGGGTCATCTTTCTTAACAGACAATACTTGAGTTTCTTCTCATTGCTCAATTTTAGCTTGAAGGAAGATGGCAAAATTTATTATAGTTTCGAATTATCTGCTAAGTATTCCAGATTAGTATCTTCACTGCTGAGATGTGGAAGCTGCATGGCCTGGCTTATTCTCACTGCAGAATCTCCAGCTGTGGAAACTTTTTCTTCTCTGATCCATCCAAAAAGCCACACTCTAATTCAGAAAGTCAGACTCAATAATAAACAAGCCAAGTTCAGTTTCCACACTATGAAACCTTGTCAGAACTACAGGAAACCATGAGACTAGATATTTCAGTACCAGCATGATAGAGAAACCAGATTAAATTTTCAAATTGAACGCAACCCTTGGAAGTCGTGTAATAGAGTACAAAGGGTGAACATTAAAAATTAATCTTTGCACAAAAGCTGAATGTCAAAATAACTGTTTCTAATATTAAAAATGAAAGCTAGAAAATTGAAAAGGCCCTTTATGAAATACCAGCTACAGTCCAATCAATTAAAGTTTCTATAGACTAGAAAACTAATACAAAAGACCAAGCTGATTATATTAGAGGAAAAATCATGGGTCACTCTGTGGTGGCACTGTCTTTTTAAGATAGCTTCGTTGTATTTGCTGCTTTTCCACTTAACACTGAGAGGACAGTTACCGTACAAGGTTAAATCAACTCAACACCTGGATCCTATTCCTTCCTGCTCCAGGCCTCCTGAGATGACCTCAAGCGTAAGAGCAGTGTTCCACTTCCTACTTGCATCCCACAGTGACTGCACCTTGCAAGCTGCTACACTTGCCCGAGACAAACAGGTCTCTTCACCACATCATCCACAATGCTCTGATACCTGTTGTGTAGCCGGCAGACTAATATCATGGTCACACATAGGGGACAGGAAGGGGGGGAGCTGGAGACTTTACTCCATAGTTATCACAATCCACAAACTTTGTCAAGTCACTTAGAACAGTTTAGGTGCTTTAAAATTCCCTTCCAAGGAAATAATGGTGCTTCATGAAGAGTTAACACAAGCATACACATTCCCTTCACCCCATATAGTTATAAAACATATAGAACATCCATCCAGCTAACGTACCTTTTCACTGTCAACATGCACAACATCTTTGGCTTCGGGATCCTCCTCCCACAGTGGAGCACCTTCTGGATCCTTGAGAAAGGCCACCATTGACTGTAATAAACAGGGGAAAAGAAGCTTTTAAAGCAAAATGAATGGAAACCATGAAACATCCAATCTCAAACCCACGCTGTCATGCAAACCCCATCCAATTAGTGCATTTGGTTTTCTGCTCATATACCCACCTGCTCTAATGCAGACGAACACAAACCTCCTATTGCAGAACCAAGTGATGCATGGGTATGTACCTTCCGCACAACTGATATCCCAACTTACCAATTCCCATTTCCACTATAAAACTGGGGAAAATAGCGTGGAAGTAGACCAGCACACAGAGAGTATGTTCAAGGATCCTTCAGAGAGCTCTTTCAATGGTACTAGCTCTGCAGTACTTCCACAGCTGCTCCCTGGCTTGGCAGGAAAGCTGTCTCTTTACGCAGAGGTCAGGTTCCTATGCCCTTCACCATATCTGAGTAACCTTTGAATCTAATAACCCTGGTTGGAGGGTACACTGACACTCGCTGTGAGCAAAAGCTACAAACTCCACACTTAAAGATCAAACTGCACACTTGGTCAAAGGAAGAATAATCCACCAATAGTTGCCTCTATGACCCATTCTACCTAGAAGCTGCATGCAGTGGATTTTTAACTAGAAGCGTAAGAAGCAAACATGACGAGACAAGTGGGAAATACAAGATCTTATGATTCTGCAGCTCCCGTATTGAACAAGCTGAGTACACATGCATGTGTGCTTTTAACTGCTTTACGTGACTGACATGCAACCAAGAGTCCCATTTCTGCAGGCCACAGACATTCTCTTTATCATAAGGAAACACTCTCTGACAGTTTTGATTTCAGTCTGAGCTCAAGGGAAACTCCATCCCTCTGAAGCCAATGAGACACTCTCCATGGGTTCCAGCAGTCGCACTGTCGCCCATTTCCAGCTGGACATGGAAGGACAGGCTTGACCACCGTTACCCTTGTTTGTCTGTGCTCTAGGAAACATAATACTTGGTTTTCTGTGTTCATTCACCACTCAGCTCAACCCCATTTCTTTCTCTGTGGCATTGCTTGCAGGTACATGTCCACTCCCTGACAGGATCCCTGTCACACCAGTAACACAGCAAGGTCCCAGAGGAACCTCCATCCATGTAAGAGTGAATAGATGATGCTGCCACAGCACTAAGTGAACTTACTTGGAGTTGAAGCAAAGAAAAGCTTCATTAAAGCCTTTTTCAGCCCATGGGATATTTTACCAAAGCAGGTCATGACTGAAGAATAGAGCTGAGCACATACTAACACACACCAAGAACACCCATCTAAAAGCCTAGGTTTGAACACCACCTTCTTAAGAGCAGGTTAGGAGCACGCCTGACGACACATGCCACTGAAACAGCTTCAGAGACAGTTTCGCCACCGCTCTGCCTTCAGTAGGGCTGCTCTGGCACAACATCCCAAGAGCTTATCAACAGACAGTAGAGTTCGGCTCGTTTTCCTTCATCTCAGTCACTCAGTACTACAAGTCTCGGGAGGATTCAGAGCTTATGGCAGGATCCATTTATTGCATTTATGCTTCTGTCTACTTGCATAGCTAATATTGAGGAGATTTATCTTATCACAAGAGGCAGCATATATTAGTCACCAGACAGCAAGGAAAGCACTTAACATACACAGTAAGAAGACCTAAAGGGTGAGGTAACAGTGTTGGGACCACAAACACTTCAAGGAAAAATTTGGTTTAATACGGCATTAGCACAGAAAGGAGCTATCTAGGAAAATAAAATCAAGTAATTTATAACGGAGTTTGTAAAAAGCTCTAAAATTAGAGGCATTAACATCCCAAATCATGCCCTAAGAAGACTTAATAATACATGGGGAAAGGAGACAAGAGGACAAAACAGGGGAGATGTTCTACAGTTCGAAAATCTACATCAAGTTCTGCTCACTCTCAGTCTGCACAGACCTCACATATACACGAGGAGAGCAAAGACGGGACAGCATTTTAAATGGCTAATGAGTGCGATTGACTCTGCTAGTTTCAAGAATTCCTGTGTGCCAAGTTCAGTCATGCAGAAACAGATGTGGTTAGAGGATGAGGGATTAAAGAGATTTAATTCATCCAGCCTCTCCCGCTCAGCCAAGAGAGAAAAAAATTAGATGTGTAATGTGTTCTGGCAGGAGCAGGCAGTACGTTGGCTCACACTCATTACTCCATGCAGTGAAGAGAACTTCCTGTGTGCCTCTAAACGGGAAAGAATCGCCCCAAACAAACCATAGCACTTAGTAATCACAGAAAAGCAGTGGTCCCAAGGCTGCTGGGTTAGAAACCAGAGCAAGGTCCAGGCCACAGCAACCCCCATGCTGAAGAATGAGCTATGCTCCTGTCCTGCCACGATGTGGTTAGGACCCACTCTGACCCCACGGCACCGAGCGCACCAGGCTGGACTGTAACCCGCTGCCCAAACCCTCTGTGACAGCTTTGAACCTTAAACATCGATCTCCCAGAATACAGGATGCTGCTTCATCTATCTAGTAGCCTGTGCTGCTAAAAGCAAGCAAGTTGTAACAGCACAATAGCTGTTAAAGGACTATCACACATCGACCTAGGTTTTCACCTGAGAAAAAAAATAATGCAGAAACACATCCCCGTACTTTGCACTCCTTTGAAGTATAAGGCAGGAGGGATGGGTATAAAAAGACTTCCCTTGATTTCACACACACTCCTTACAACAGCAAACTTGAAAAGGATTCAGATTTTAGAGCAGACCAATTTATTTGGTTGGTCTATTCCCTTCGCTAGTACTGAGCAGATTTGTACTTTAATGAGTTTTTCTCCATTTTAGAAGGAGAGTAAAGCTCTCCCCACACTTTATCCACCAGAAAAGGCTTTGTCGTGTAATAAGCACAGCCTGGCTACTGGCCTCATGGCACTATCAAGGATAGGACATGGTGTGGCTAACGCAATGTAAAAGCAGACATCCCAGTTAAGATAAAAGACTGATTGAAGCTTAAACCTCCAACAGCAGCCGACTACAGGTACTATACTAGTACCATGCTTACATAGCACACACTGGTATATGCCCTCAATTTCTGGCAAAAAGTAATTAAGTTTATGGACTCTGCACCAGCTGTTGTATTTGGACCTCTGTGCTTGCTATCAATGGATCAGTCCTTTATGACTATCTAAAACTGCTTAGGACTCAAATTCTTGGCTTTCACAACACATAGCAGCAACTTTTTTTAAGCACCGCAGTTATTTGTTTCAAATCAGCTGCCCCCAGATGCCACCATTTGCACCCAAGTTTGGAGAAAAAACAACAGGTAATGACTTCCTTTTTCAAGCTACTCAGTTATACAAATATCTATCATAAACTCCTCCAGTTGCCCTTTATTCCAAGCCCAAGAATCTTCACATAACTATCCAAGCCATCCGTGCGCCTCTGATCATCCTCACCGCCCTTTGAGGGTACTTCTACACCTTTCACTTGATGAGGCAACCAGAATTGTGTACAAGACACAAGATGAAGGAACCCAATGGGCTCAGATGGTGCAATAACCTTTCTTCCTCCATTCTCTGTTCCCCTCCTAATCATTTGACTTAAGTACTATCAGGCACGGGGCCAACATTCTCAAGCCAATGCTGTCCTGACGGTTAATTCAAAACGCATTACAACAGCCTGCATTACTCCAGCACAGTTGGAGCTGTGTCTTTTACTTCCCTCTCAGGTTCATGACTCCCCAAGTTCTTATTTTCATACCAACAAGCCAATTGGTATTGTGAGAACCTAAACCCTTGTGCAAAGAGTTGGAAAAGCGTTTTTAAAGCTACTCCTAATAATTGTCATGACCGAACTTCGATACCTTACAGTCCACCTCCCTTTACCAGACACCCCGAACAGCTCAGATCCTAACACAGGTCTCAGCAGCAGGAGATTCTGACAGCTAACTTCCCCCCACTATGCACATCAAGCTATCCTTCATGCCTCATTTTTCTAACAGTAAACCCGCAAGGGCATCTCTGCTAATTACATAAGGATTTAGTTACTTTAAGAAATGAAAAGCTTTTCTGAAAAACCCAAGTACACTATCAGCTGGATCAGCCACGTCTATGAAACTGCCGATTACTTCAGAAGAATCCTTTTACAGTTCTTCAGAGCGGTGTCCATCATTCTCCAAAATGTCATACATATATTAATATGTGCACTGGGTGCCTGGAAAGAAGACGTGAGTTTTATTGCCACAAGCTTGCTGAACAATGTGAAACAAATCCTTTAATCTCCTGGTTCTTCAGTGTGTCCACCTGTCCGTAAAAGGGGTGTGATACCCTACGTAATTGTGTTGCTCTGCTGCTCGCTGTCTGTAATGTACTGGGAGATTCCTGACAAACACGGCTGAGAGAGAGGAAGAAAGGACACTGCCTCGACAGAAGGATACAGGGGGAAGTAGTGGTAAAGAGGGAGAAGCACAGCAAGCTTTCAGGCAGCTATGAGTGGCAGAACAAGTAAAGGCTCAGCCAAGTTCTCAGACCACTGCCCAGCTCTGATGCACTGTCCAACCTGTAAATCATCAGGCGCTGGTTTCACAGGAGCAGTTACGTTACAAAAGAGTAGAGGTCCTAGAGAGAGGGAGCTTCAAAACCCTCTCTTCCACCCACACTGGAATCTCACATCCCTGCGCACGGGATACTGCTTCCTCCTCCCCAGCATGCAGGGCGAGAGGGAAAGGGGAAATGCTCATCACAGAAGAGCAACTGAAGGAATAAACGGTACGGTTCCTGTTGTGTGACAGCTGCCTCTCAGCCCAACACTCCCTGGGGCTCTACAGGTGCTTTCCATTGATCTGACGTGTAAGGAAGAGTCACTGCACTAATTCCCGGTTGCAGTACTTCATGGAGGGCAGGAAAGGCCATGCCACGCATTGTTCAAACCACCCAAATTTAGGCAACTAACCTAAAGTCCCTTGCCCCACCACCCACCAAGAGGGGAAAAAATTCACCAGGTGCATTTCCTCCCCAAGCACAGGAGGAGCTCCAGGCCCTTGCTGGGCACCAGAGCCAGACAGAAGCAATTTCTGGAAGCCAACTCATCGCATGGCTTCACCAGGGTTTCGCAGAGGAAGGCTGCACACTTTCCACCTGCTTACTGTGCTTTTAGTCCACCATTTCCACAATCATCAAGGCCCACACATTCATTTCACGATTCGGGTCACCTTCCTTCTGTTGCCCTCACAGAACATTGCTCGGTGTTGCTTTGTATCAAGGTCTGCAGGAGAAGGAAGGTTGTTTTCTCCCTGCGGCACTCAGGGCACATCCACAGGAACTGTGGTTCCATAATCCGATAAAAGATAAGGCCACTCAGTTTTCTCTAAAGACCTAAAAACCTCAGAGAACTCCTTATCAGAATGCAGTATCAGTTAATACTTTTAGTTATACTGACATTAACAGCACCTTGTAATCAAAACAAGAAAATCCCCCTGTTACCAGCCTGCAAGTTAACTCACAATTTACATCACAGTTCAACATGGGTTCAACCTTTTTAACAATATACAATTTTCCTGGATCTGTGGTTGGCAGACACCTACACACACAAAAACCTTGGGGTCATTCTGACAGCTGTTTATGAAGATTAAATCCCTTCCTTTCATGCCTTTCGCATGAAAAAGTACCAACACCTGGTTTTAATCCACAAGTATCTCCCCCATATCTCGCAAAACTGAAAGAATAATAATCAAATATGTAAATTTACCTTCAATGTGACCGCTCTGTTATATTCAGTATGGAATGCACCGTCCCTGTTGAACAAGGAGTGGGGAATAGTGTTAACTTACAGTTACGTTGCTGGAAATCATACAGCTGCTCTCCCTCACTTCTCACTAACCACAACAACATTATCCGGCTGAAGCCACAGAAAAAAGTAGAATTTATAGTACAGTAATATAAAGGGGAACAAAAGAGTAAGGAGAAAGGAAGTGTGCAAAACAGAGTATAAAGCAAACAGCTTTCTAGTAAATTATTTCCTCCCTGACACTTAAAACGAGAACATTTACTAAGGTACGATCTTTGGAGATGCAGCTGCTTGGTGTCTCACACTTCACAACACTCCCACTCCTATTATTCCCAGAAAGAAAATCTCTTTCTGTCTCACTACATTTGCCTTTCTCCACTTACTTTACAAAGTGCTACCTCAAGTCAGAAAAGCAAGCACAGAGAGGTGAAGCCGTTTGCCCAAGGCACATGCCAGCAGGTGTCTCTTACGTGACAGAGAAAGCAAGAGAGCTCAAACCTCAGGCATCAGCCCTGTGCACTGGCTAGTTTTAGCCCACTGGGCATCTCTCCCAGGGCCCACTTGTGCTTTACTGTATTCTATTCAACAGCAGAATTAATTTATCTCAACGTCTGTCACAACACATGCTTGCAAACTGAAGAAACAGCAATTTCACATGTCAAGGGACAAAAAATAAGAGGTTTTCATACTGCAACAGTATGGAGCTGCAAGGAAAACAAATGGTCCTAAGAGGGGCATCAACAATTAAGAACTACAAATTCCAGCCCAACACTCACTTATAATGGAGTAATTCCACTCCTTTCTCCTTTGAATTAGGATCTACTTTCATCTTCTTGCATAATTTTCGGCTTTCAGTATCACTGCAAAAAACACATATTGGAAGAAAAATGGTTACAAGAAAGGAAATCAAATGCATTCAGCTCTGAAAACTACTGCTCTGCTTCCTCATCAGCCAATCAGTTGCAACTAACAGTAATTTGGAAGCTGTTGAGATAAGTTTGTGGGACAAGCACTGTGGAAAGCTCCATTAGCTAATTTAATTTCTGTTTGCTTGGTCGGGACAGAGTGAACGGGACAGAGTGAACTGTGTTAAAACAACATTCCAAAGCCAGGTCCTAACCAGGGGTAAAGACCATTCTAGCATGTCAGAGTACCTCAGAGTAGACTTCCTGTCCATGGGATTAACATCAAATTTAGGCAGACAAGTTTTCAAGACGACTGTGCTACTGTTAGGGTGATGGTCAAGGAGCACTGCTTGTGAAAAGTTTCAGAGAGAAAGAGTAGGTCAGCTTTTATACATGGCAGAAGATAACCCAAAACCAAAAAGCAACATCTTCATGGTACCTCCAAGCCCAGATCACAAGTGGCTAGCCTTAGACCCTGCAGAAAACAAAAAACAATTCAAATTTTGGAGCCCCAAGACGAGCAACCCTGTTCAAACCAGGTATTAGGGATGTGTCCTGTACCCACACCTGGCAAGCAGAGGTAAGGACCACAGCTCCTGACAAAGGAGGCATTAACAGCAGACAGACCTGCTGGAGTTGGTTTTCAAACTGAATTGCTTCCAGCACCAGATAAGCCTGAGTTGAAGAGAAAATGGTCATGGGAGAAAACTGCATATACATTTGCTTAGGTGGGCAGGTGAAGGGTCTTCATAGCCTAACTGCTCTACTGAACAACACAGAAGCAAAGCTAGAAGGATACTTCAAGCTAAAGTGAATATGAAGTCAGTCAAAGACCGGGGGAGATGAGTGAAAAAGCAAAACTACAAAGAAAAGAGGATGATTCACATTGACAAGACTATTCTTCGCATTGACAAACAGCAAGATTAAAAAGCTTGGAAACTTGTTCCCAGCAGAGGACAACTTGTACCTTTTACGCAGATAAATCAATTTAGAAAATGAAAACACTGAAAACCCATCAAGTTTAAACTGATTAGAGCCACATTAGAGTCACTGAGATGCAAGGGTTGCAAGAGCTCCAACCAAATTAAGTGCTGCTGCCAGCACTGGTGCTAATTCTCCCAATGTTCTCCAGCTGCCTTTCTGCAAACTGAGGAACAACAAGAAGTTCACAGTGTGCTGCAGATGAGAGCACACCTTTGTGGAAACTTCCCCAACGCTTATTTAGATGGGAATGAGGAGGGGGGGTGCTACGGACACATGCAGCAACATCAGAGTATTACGCTGAAGACTATCAGAGCACTCAAGTACCTCACCAGGAAGGAGCACCTGTAATCCCAACCGTACAGAAACGTGCTTATCTGAAGGGCCTTACTGAATCCATGTCCGTTCTGCATTTTCAGATCACAGCCAAAGCCAGTCACTGTAACCTGTAAACACTTTCTTTGCTTCTCCAGGAGCCTGGAGATCTAAGCCTGAGAATAAAGTAATTTTCCTAGATTATGAAGCAAATAGCCTGGATTTGGAGTTCTGCCGAAAAGCTGGTTTGCCACGTGGAGTTTCTACAGAAAGTCTGCAGCAACATCCTATCTCCTCTCACCTGCATCCTTCAACAGTCCCAGGGGCTACACCTAAACAACTTGAAGGCCAGGGAATCTCAGGAGGAAGGACCAGTTTCAGATCATCCTCCCGTTCTACCCCAGATCTAGAGGCAGGGAGAAGCTCTCATATCCTCACCGGAGCTGACTGCCAGACAGCTAACCAAACTCAGCCCACACCCCAGTCAGCATTTGTAAATGCTCTTCTGGACACTCCCAAATGTTTACAGGATACACCATGCGGATTTCTGGCCATCTCTGTCTTGCCAAGAGAGATGTTCGGTGGTTGAGATGAACAAGTGTAATACTCAAACCTGCCTCCAGCAAGAGGGTCTGTCAAACGCTGGAGGTGTGCAGACAATTGTTCTGGCAGCAGTGGAGGACTAAAACGGGTAGCAAGACCATCCTGTTGCCAGTTCTGCCACCAGCCTGGTACAACTTCAAACCATGTGGGGGGGGAAAAAAAAGTGTAATTTTTCCTTGTGTGTCATTTAGAGATCTGCATGCTCATCTTAGAAAAGTTGTGCAATGGCTACAGTTGAAAAAGGTTACAGACCATTACTGCTGAGATGTACTTGTGAGCAAGCAGCTAGCTCCCACCACTTCAACTCCTACAGTTCATTTTCTGTTTGCATGAGTTCCTATTAAAAACAAAAAAACAGATAAGAACACTTGTTTCATTGGAAGGAAACAGGATCTAAGCCTGCCCTGCTTTCAGGATTGCTCCGTTTGTAGAGATTCACATAGCTGCTTGAATGCACATCCATTCTCACCGCAAAAAAAGCAGCAGTTTGCCCCAGTATGTCTCCTACCATTTAGTGGACAGATTCCCTGGACTGCTGCATTGGGAGTTTAGTCTGTTTATGCAAGCTATCTGAACTGATGCAAGGGATGGAAGAGGAGCAAATTCCCAGAATACGAAGTGTCTAAATATGTATCAGCAATTTTTTCATGCATCAGTGCAGGTTTTTGCACATGCCAGACCCACCAACTCAGATGCTACACTAATGATTCTTTGCAAAAAGCAGAAAAGGAAACATACAGAAATGGCAGGAATAGACCCATTCTGCTTTTCCTTCTGTTTTCACTTACACCCAGACAAAAATAACCTGCAAAGAGCAACCTGTTCTAATATCACTTGGTAATGACCATTATCCTTAATAAGAGTAAATATCAACACAGATGCAGTCTCTGCTCTGAGATTTGTCTCTCTTGGATATCAGCCAACAGCCTCTCTCTGAAGATGAGCTCCTCAACTCTCACATGGGAGAGGGTAATTAGGACTCCGGTTCTTGCAATTTAATTATACCACTTGAACAGGCAGCGTAAGAGTTGGTTGTAAAGATGAGAAGGGGAAAAAAGAAGAAAAAGAAAAAAAGAACAAAAAAAAAAAAGAAAGAAAAACACCACCAAAACCTAAAAAGCCAGAAACCACCCCTGAAATTAGCACTTTACCACCCAGGCCAAGACACTCCAGACAAGGCACCAGGGTCAGGAAATCCTGGTTTGAGGATGAGGTCAGCAATGTGCTCAAGCAGCCAATCTCGGCTGCCTCATGCCATTTCTGTCCTGAGCAATTCCAGCCCTTGCAGGTCCCTGCTGTACTGCTGAAGGGACCCTGCTCTGCCCACGGGCAGTCCCACACCTCACCCAGCTTCACCTCTGTGGAAAACCATCCAAAATGTCAACCTATTCGCAACACCACAAGGGACCTAACCAGCAGCTGTCTACGTGGTAGTAAGACCAACCCTTAAGTGGCATGATGGCACGGCTTCCTTCCACGCCCACAGGCATGTTCCCCACGCTCCCCCTTCCCACGAAACCAAACCAGGGCACCAAAATGCTCCTTTGCAGAAGCAAAGACATACGGCAGCTTGTTAAAAAGAACAATAAACTGAAAGATGCAAGTTGACCTAACTAAGCAAGAAGTCTAAATGACAACACAGAAAAAAGAATCCTCCTCCCCTTTCAATTCACATCCCCATCTCCTCTACTGGGAGACACTTCTGCGATTTGGGGTTACGATGGAGGTGGCAGGAAGCCAGACTGGCACCGTCCCTGTAAACCTCTGAGGCCCCTTGTCAGCGTTAGCACGCATGAATAATCGGTTGGCACAGGCAGCCAGCTGTTAACGGGGCAGGAGGAGGGCGAGGGGCTTAAGAAGGAGATCGGACCTCCTTTGGCTCACCACCAGCCAAGCCTGCACCACAGGCCACGGACGCTCCTCAGAAGCGGCGCAGGATGCTCTGCCTGTGCAGGGCTGTCTGCGGGCTTGGGAGCACACAGGCATAAAGAAGCAGTGAGGGATACTGATGGCAGTCCCCAGTGGCAGGAGCAACCCAGAGAAAGGCTTTTGCAGCAATGTGGCAAAGTAATTTGGAGACAGAACAGAGGACAAAGCTAGACAGGAGGAACAACATGAAGTCCAGAAGTTTGGCTGCAGTAAACACATTAGTTTCTAAAAACAAAACAAGTCTGAGCTGGATGGATCCTGAGTAAGAGATGGTGCATAGAGGCAGCAGTGCAAAACACCTTCCTTGGGGCCAATTCAAATATTGCCCTGGAAGGTCCTGAAGGCAGCAAGACTGAACATCCTCAGCACTGTCCTCTCTCATGAGCACAAATAAGATCAGCTCCCTCATTATTTCCCTTATCACGTAACGCTGCTTGTTGGCGAGCACAAATAAGATCATCTCTAGCTCCCTCATTATTTACCTTATCACGTAACGCTGCTTGTTGGCTTCCCATCAAGAAGGGAAAACTGCCCTACAACCACATCAGCCTCTGGGCAGGAAGGATTTGGGATGACTGTCAAATCCCCTCTTCGGAAATTACAAAATGGCCATCCAAAAAAAGTTCACGTCTCCAGCTGCCAACGTAATAGCGGCGTGTGCATGTGCTATGTGGCCACACCACTTGGATGCCACTGTGCTGGCATCTACTAACACCCTGTAACACAGACTGGACACAGCCTTCCTTTTCATCAGTGCCTACAGTGTTTCCAGGCACAAGAGAAGTGATTAATAAAAACACTGACAGCACCGATTTAAATAACTAGGTCAATAAATCTGCTTGCACAAAAACTATCTCGCTGCTCTATCAGCATATCACGTAACCACAAGTGAGCCACAGACCTCACAATCTGTAAACAGATGTTCTCTCTTCTATCTGTACATCTCTGTGAAACAGGGCTCAACAATCCACATAAATTACGCTTCAGCATTCCCTTATACCACAGTGGCGGCGGTACACCCCAATGCGATGGAGGCTGTTGTATCAGTGGCTGTGCCTGTCACTGTCCCAACAGCTGGAAGAGATGAGACTGAGCAGGTAAGGAGGAAGAACAGGCTCTGAGGAAGG